TTTTAAGGGACAATGAATGTTTCGCAGGCTACTAGCCACCTCTAGTGCACATTTATCTAGATTCTAAAATTAAATTCAGATACATGTCTATGATTTCTGTGTCATTTTGTTTCTTTCCATCAATTGCCAGTTTAAAATAACCTTTTTGTTTTGGTTTTTGAGACAGAGTTTCTCTGTGTAGCTCTGGCTGTCCTGTATCTCTTTCTGTAGACCAGGCTGGCCTCGAACTCACAGAGATCCACCTGGCTCTGCCTCCTGAGTGCTGGGATTAAAGGTGGGCGCCACCACCACCCGGCTTAAAATAACCTTTAATAATATTTTCTTACTCAAAATGTACACATCATGAGAGTCCATTGTGCTTAGTGAATTTTCACAAAGTACGAAAATCCATGTGGCTAACACATGTTTTGAGGTCTTTTTAAGTTTTCCATGAAATAGAGAATGTAGGAAAAGTCTATTCCGTTCCAATGAGAGGTGCTCTCTAGTCACAGCGTCACCAATGAGGGGTCTTAAAGCTACAGAAATATGGATCAGATATGACATGTTCTGCCCCGCCTCACTCACACCTGAGACCGGCAGGTGAGTCTGCCTACAGAGGGTCCACATGGCACAGGAAATGGTCATCTTTGGAAATCATCTCCCTGACATTCTTGTAAGCAGAAAATTTCAGGTATGTTAGTCTGATTTCCCCCCCCCCCCCCCCCCCCCCCCCGAGAAAGTGTCACCGCCAGAAACCTAGGGCTTCCACCACGGTGAGCTTCCTGAGTGCCGAGGATGGTGCCTGTTTGTATTTGTGCCCTCGGTGCTGCCTCCAGGCCTAACTCGGTACTCAGAAACCCAACTGTGGGATGGATGGGCTTGCAGACTGCTTAGCACTCCTTAAGTTCCTGGAAAGTCAGCCAGTGTCCTCGACAGAGCACAGAGCCACCACCATTCCTGCTACGCAAACTGAAACGCCCACCGAGGCAGTCCTCGGCGATCCTTCTAAAACCCCAGTCTGACCATGTCACTCTCCTAATCCTCACCTACGGCCGCTGTGTCTATCTATGCACAGCTCTCCCTCGGGCAGATGTCTTTGAGAACCCAGGCACAAGGCTGCTACCCCTCCGTTTCCTGTTCCAGCAGCAGCAATGTGGCCCCTTTTTCTTCCGCTGGCCCAGGATGTATAAGCCAATGGGTCCCCAAACTCCATCTGAGAACTTCTGCCCACAGCCACAGTCCAAGCTCCTTTGGGTCAACAGGGCCCCTTTTGGTTGGGTCTGGGAATCTCTTCAACTTCATTTTTGTCACTAATTTTATACTCTGTGCAGTTTTACTCTTCCTTCCCTTTGTAAGGATTGTTCCCTCTTCCTGGAGTGTCTTTCTCTGCTTTGAATAGTTGTCTTATCTTTCCCACAAACTCTCAGGCCTCCCTTAAAACCCTGCCATCATCACTTTTAACCCCTCTATATCTGTGTGTCATTTTCTGCACCTCGTGGGTCCCTATCATCGCTGGGGTGGTGGGCGTTGTCATGATATGTTTACATACTCCCTAACCCCCAAGTTTCTAAGATTTCTGGGAGCGAAAACCACGTTTCCCCCAGCAGAGTGTCCCCAACGCTTGCTTTTACCCTCTAAATCAGACTGTTTGGGCAGGAAAATTTTATTTGGGAAGTCTTGAATCCAGATACCAAATTCCAAACAAGAAATACGCTGAAATATGAAAAATAATAATATAACCCAGTGGCTGGGAAGATGTCTCTCTGGGTGAAGGGCTCGCTGCACAAGTGTGGAGCCTTGAGTTTGGATCTCCAGCATTCACATAAAAGCCAGGCACAGTAGCACGTGCCCGTAGGGGAGACAGAAACCAGCAGATCCTTGGAGCTCATTGGCCGGCCTGCCTAGCCAAAGCGGTGAGTTTCAGCTTCTGTAAGAGAGCCTGTCTCAAAAAAAATAGAGAATGATTAATCAAGGAAGATATCAATGTCAACCTCTGGCCTCCACACACATGCACACTCAACATGAGCACACACATACACCACCACCACATGACAGTGTAACAGAGTCCAAAACATACAAGTTACACTGCAAGAATGTGTGGTGTCCTTGAAAGGGTAGTGTTGTAACCATCGTCCCCAGAGGTCAGCTCTTTTTATGCGGACCATAAACCATTCCCTCAAAACCACCCAACCCCCATTATTCTGAATCTACACACACCAAGGTACCTTTTGTGATGAATCAGGTATCCTGATAATAAAATAAGGTGGGGTGGCTCTGGTAGTTCAGTCAGTGAAAACATAGGTTACTTCACAAGCTAATGCGTGCGTGCTCAGTGACACACCCACCCTTTAGACGTTTAGTTCACACAGATCACTCGTCAGGAGGAGGTTCAACTTTGTACACACTGGTAAAATGGATTCCGCTGCTCTACAATGCTCCGTAGGCCCTGAGCAGAGTGCCACCTTCTACTCCTTGGCCGTTCCCCTTTTCAGATCGTATGTCTCGGGCGTGTATGAGTTCCTGTTGGTGCATGCGTACATGTGTATGTGTGATATACTTATGGATGCCAGAGGTCAACACTGTCTTCTTAGGTCATGCTCCACCTCAGGTTTTGAAACAGAATCTCTCACTGAATCTAAAGCTCGCCTGCTTGGCAAGCTAGCTGGCCACCGAGTCCCAGAGATTCTCCTGTCTCCCCACCCCTCCACATGTGTTACAGAGACATGTTGCTGCACCTGGCTTTTATGTGGGTACTGGGGATCCAAATTCATATCCTCCTGTTTGTGTGGCAAGTCCTTTACTTAGTAACCCAGATCCCCAGTTCCCTCACTCCCTTTCATATCATCTATTTCTATATAACAGCCACAATTACATGCTTTACTCTCTTGGTGTCTAGAGCAAATACTCTCTTGTCTATTTTACCTAAGAGACAACTGAGACACAGGAGAGCCGAAGAGCTCATTCAAGGGTCTACACACCCTGGAAGCTGTGAGTTATTCTTCTTCACCTGCCCTTTAAGTATCAGAGTGGAGTGGACACAGGTGCTGTAAATCAAAGTTCCTCATCCTTCCTATTGCTTCATGAGCCTTTTCAGACTCTCACATCAGCCCAGGCAGCAAGACACCTGGTGAAGATATTTCTTCCAGCTGAACACAAAGTTGGAGTGACCTCAAAAGTGGTGGCATGGAAATTTCCACAAGGGAATGCCCAAGCCATGCCAAGTGGCCTGCAGTCAGCATGCTATGGAAAGAAACACTGTGTGCCAGGGTGGTCAGTCTGCAGCATTTATTAAGGAGAGTTGTATAAAGCAGTGATGGAAGCATCCTGCAGTACAGGTAACAGCAAGATGAGGGCTGCCCCCCTCCAATAAATCAACCAGGAGTGGATCAATTTAGCCAGCTTTGTATGAGAGCTTAAGGAATTTGATTCAGGGCAGGGGCCAGTTGCTACGTGTTTAGCAAAAGGATTAACTTCTCAGTGTTTTCAAGCACCAACCTAAACAGGTTTTCCAGTGCAGGGGAATAGTTGAGGCTCAAGCCTGCAGGGGAAGCAAGCAGCTGCCTGGTGGCCGCAGAGCAGTCAGCACACAGAGAACCTGGGAGAACTGACCCTACAGAAGAGATGATCCCACAGGAAGGAGACAGCACCCCGCCGAGTGCTGTTTACATACTACCTCTGCCCATCCGAACCCTCCTTAATCCTTAGCCCTGGCTGAGCCTGGAGGGAAGACATTTTCTAACTAGAAGCTAAGAAAATTATGTTTAGAAAAGTTAACTGACTTTTTGATGGTTTTTTGGAACCATCAGGAAGGTGGTAATTTGTTGGTTCTTTCAGATAAGCATTTACCGGGCTGTTTAGAGTTCAATGAGCAGTGTTAACAGTGGCCAGCTTATCATCATTGCTGTCACCATTGTCATTAAAAGGGTGCTCTCCGGCCCACAGAATTAACTAATCAGGACTCATGGGGCTCACAGAGACTGGAGTGACCATCGGGGAGCCTGTGTGGGGCTGACCTAGGTCCTCCGCTTATATGTTATGGTTGCACAGCTTGGTGTTCTTGGGAACCGCCTAAGAGTGGAAGCAAGAGCTGTCTCTGACTCTTTTGCATGCTTGGGGACCCTTTTCCTCCTACTGGGTTGCCTCATCCAGCCTTGATATGAGGGTCTGTGCATAGTCTTACTGTAACTTGTGATGCCATATTTGGTTGAAACCCAAGAAGGCTTGTTCTTTTCTGAAGAGAAACAGAGGAAGGGTGGATCTGGGGGGGGAGGGGAGCTGGTGGGGGGGGGGACTGGGAGGAGAGGAGGGAGGGGAAACTGCAGTCAGGATTAATATATGAGAGAAGAATAAATAAATAGGTAAATTTTAAAAACCAGCGCGGGGAGAGGCATCCACTCTGGCTGAGCTATAGTTCCTTTTTCTGGCCTCACGATGACTCCCATGAGGAAGATGTAATTTTATATCCCTATGCAGAGCTACCAAAAGTAAGATCTGTAACTGGTGCGTTTTCACCTCTGAGTCCAGATGCCTGTGTTCCAACTCCTTCACAAGCTCGATCTGTGTGCCTAGAATGTCACTTCTTAGATTAGGCAAAGCCTTGGCTGGTGGTCTGCAAAAGAGGGGAAATGGGAAGGCTGCTTCTCTGGCCCCATCACCCCTCCAGGTTCCTGACACCCCTCCTCAGGCCACAGCTTGTATGTTGACTGCTGGAGCTGCCGACCCTTCATCACTGGTGGTTCCATGTGAACAGTTTCTTCCCATCTTCTCAGTGCGGGTCCCCTTCCCAACCTGCTCATTCTAAGAAAGCCTTCTCACATGAATAGAGCCTCTGCTGTGCCCACCTGCTGGGACAGAGCATGTGCCCTGGGGTTCCACCCTTGTTCAAGCAGCCTGATCTGCCTCCTTTCTCGGAAGTTCGGGATCCCAACTCCCCCACAAGCCATTTTGGTCGCGCAGTCTTTCAGTCACACAAGACATTCATTCACCCTCCGCCCCATCGTAAACCATGAGACCGAAACGGATTGAGAATTTCAAATGCAGTTTATTGCAGCAAAACAAAGACATGGGAGAGTTTCAGAGTGCTCCATAAAAGACAAACGACTCGCAAACACCGTATGTACAAAAACCAAAGCAGCTGAGCGAGCTGCGGGATACAGGATGCTAAGGGGCGGTCCAGAGCACTGAGTGCTTTGGGCGCAGCAAAGAAGCCCTGGGTCTGACGTCCTCTTTGAACTGTCGTGTAGGTGGTGGCAGTTCTGAACTGTTACTCGAACAATACATAAAGTGGGGTCGTTACCAGGGGACTCAGATTGCTACTAATCTGAAAACTTCTTTGGAGGCAGAGCAGGGGAGGGAAAAGCGCAGAGGAAAAAGGCAAAATCGGTGCGACTAACCATAGCTCTTTTCTCCAGTAAGGCTGGTGCAATTGACCTTGGTCTTGTCAACCATATTTGGTCGTGATGGGAAGGGAGAGCTAATGGGGCGGTGAGCACCTCTCTATCTGGTCCCTCGGGAGTAACTAGTGGAAACAAACTTCACGCTAGAACTGCCTCCCGAGGACTTAACGCCCCCGGAGCTGGATCCTCCACGGCCTCCTCCAGAGGAACCACCATAGCTGCCTCCGGAGCTGCCACCGCCCCCTCCAGAGCCACCTCTGTGGCCCCCACTGCTGCCGCCGGAGCCACCGTGGCTGCCGCCGCCGCCGCCACTTCCGGAGCCGCCGCCGTAGCTGCCGCCTCCGGAGCCACCGCCGTAGCTGCCGCCTCCGGAGCCGCCGCCGTAGCTGCCACCTCCACCTCCGGAGCCATATCCGCCGCCGCCACCTCGGCTACTGCTTCCGCTCATGCTGGTGTGGCTGGTGCTCACCGCTGCAGAGAGACTCGGTTACTCCCCGTCCCTCTCAACTCATCCCACCCGGCAAAGCGCCCCGAGAAACCGGCTTGTACTTACACACGCTCACGTTGGGGGTGCACTCTCCAGACATCCTGCGGGGGAAACAAATCAAACCCTTCAGGACACGCACCCTCTCAGCGCCCCTTCCCATGGGGCATATCCTAGACTCTCCCCAGTGTTCCCCATGAGAAAGCTGATCCTCAGCTTGGTGCCTCCCAAGCCTGTCGGTTTTCTCAGCCTGGCCTGAGTCCAAACAGGGAGAGATCTCCCTAAATCAGACAAGGCTCTTACAGGTGGCTGGTGGGGCTCAGCTATAAAGGCTAGGTCAAGAGATTCAGCCCAGCCCCAATAAATCGTTCCATTTCAAATGTAAAAGAGGAATGGGGAGGCAGGCAGGGGACAAGTCAGAAAAATCAGAGTGGAGAGGAAAGGAAAAGAAGAAAGAAAAGAAAAAAATTAGGGCTTGTGAACACAGGTCCTTGTTTCTACCCCCATGTAGTGATTTCCCAACCCAAGACAAATTGCAATCAGAAGGGAATCCCTAAGAAGTGACCGAGCTGAAAGGGACCTTCCTCACCTGATCTCCTCTCCCTCCAGGAGGGTCCTGTATGTGGCAATCTCCATGTCCAGGGCCAGTTTGGTGTTCATCAGCTCCTGGTAGTCGCGGAGCAGCCTGGCGAGTTCCTCCTTGGCTTGTGTCATGGCATCCTCCAGCTCGTTCAGCTTGCTCTGAGCATCTTTGAGAGCGTTCTCACCACGCTGCTCAGCATCGCTGATGTTCTGTTGCATTTGTGCGATCTGGGAACAGAACACAGTGCATTACATGGGCACATAGTCCCTAATGTCACCTGGATCTTCCCATCATGTCAGCCTCCCAACCTCAGTGGGCCAGTACACTGAGGCACACAGAACCACCGGCCCTCAGGTCGCCTTAGCTGACTTCCTTAAAAGGTGATGATGCAGTTGCTTCTCCTGGGCCTGACCTAAGGTGCTGAAGTCTTACCACACACCAACTTTGAACCTTCTGACTATGTCTCCTCACTCCTCAGCTCCTAAGCCTGCTCTGGTCAGGGGCTAGGCCATTTACTGTGACCATCATTTTTTTCTCTACTAGGTCATTTTCACAAAGTTCCCTTGAGAGTATCCCACATGAGAGCTAAATTCTGAAAGCTGGCATCGTCCCCAAAGAGAATGGAGAAAGTAGTGTAGCATTGGAAAGGACTGCAAGACTCAAAATCAGGAAAGGTTTCCCCTGTGGCCAGAAGGTAACCCCATTTTGCTGTAACTGAGGGTACCTGCTTCTTGACAGCATCAATTTCAGATCGAAGTCTCTGGACAACTCGGTTCAGCTCAGAAATCTCCATCTTGGAACTTTTCACACTGTCACCATGTTTACCAGCAGTGACCTGCAGCTCTTCATACTAAAGATGACAGGTTGGCCCAGTTAGACATGGGTAGAAACTGGTGTGCTTGGGCACACAAACATGCCAGCAGGCACAGGACACCACACCAGACCTTCTAAAGAACCCGCTAAGCCCACATGTGTTTACCTTGCTCTGGTAAAATGTCTCAGCTTCTGCCTTGCTCCTCTGGCAAATGTCATCATACTGGGCCTTGACTTCGGCGATGATGCCGTCCAAGTCCAAAGTGCGGTTGTTGTCCATGGACAGGATGACATTGGTCTCACTGATGTGTGTCTGCATCTGAGACAATTCCTGGAGGACATAACAGTTCAATGACTCTTACAGAATCAAAAACCAGCTCAGAGGGAGAACTCAGGGATTGGAAGGGAGGCAGAGCAGTGGGATCAGGACTCAAGGATCTCTGTCGAGGTGTTTGAAATGCAAGTGTTTACCTCACGGTAGAGTGCTGTGAGGAAGTCAACCTCCTGCTGCAGGTTGTCCACCTTGGCCTGGAGGTCCACTTTGGTCATATAAGCCGAATCCACATCCTAGAGGAGCAGAGGTATCATAAAGCCATGTTCTTTCCAGGATGGGCCTCCTCTCTCTAGCCATAAAGGAATTTTCCTAGTAGAAATGGAATTTGGGATCTCCTCCTCTTTTCCCCAGTTAAATCACAGTTCTAGACTGTTCCAACTCTTCATGCCATAGAAAGCCTGCTTGGCTTGCTGAGAACTTGGGGCTAACAACATGGTTCCTCTCTGCCATGACCCTTATCTATTGTTTCACAGGTGAGTTCCACCCCACAGAATTGGCTCACCTTCTTGATGGTCACGAATTCATTCTCTGCATTGGTCCTCTTGTTGATCTCATCCTCATACCTGCAGGAAAGCAGAAAACAGAGTTGACTGAGGCCTGAAGCTCGGTGTTCTCAATTAAAGGAATCACTGCCCATTACTGCCTCCCCTCACAAGCAATGTCAGCTTCTGAGCACTCAAATCATTTAACTACCATCTTCTGAGAAGATGATGAGCTTGCTTGTGGTTGTTGTTTTCATGCCCATTTGATTTGCCCCTAACTGAGGGAAAGCCATTGTTACATAAGTCATATTCCCAGCATATCGCTTTCCAGAAATCCTCTGGTTCAATCGTCAGCTTACGCCCGACGAGGCTCCCTTACTTGTTCCTGTAGTCTTCCACCATGTCCTGCATGTTCTTCAGCTCCGAATCCATCCGTGACTGGTCGCTCTTCAGCTGGTCTACCTGCCTTCTGAGGTTGCCAATATATGACTCAAAGTAGGGATCTAAATTGTGGGTCCGGGTGGAGGTGTCCACCTGCTGCAGCAGCTCCCATTTGGTTTGCAGCACCTGGTTCTGTTGCTCCAGGAAGCGCACCTAGGAACAGAAGACCCGTTACCCCAAGTGCAGGAATGGGGTCTGTCTGGCCACTGAGCAAGACCAAGGCTTCATTTGAAAAAGAACTTCAAGTCCCATTTGACAGCAAGAGACACAGGGAGAAGCTGATTGAGGTGACATCAATCTCAAAGCAAAAACCAACCCACGGGTTAATCCAGAGAAGCCCTGGAAGAGAGTAGCTGTATATAGTCCAGCACACACAAAGTTACAGGAATGATGCTTTGAAATGGAAATGTCATATTTAAGAAGTTTGCCTTCCAACTGTTTTTAGGCAGATAGAAACTTAAGTCACCGGGATATATACACTGTTCAAAGGTATGTTAGGGAAATATCAAATTGGATTTGAAGTTTAATGTGGCCAAATTTATATTAACATTATTGATAAATTAGCATGAAGGTCAAACACGGCTCATGTTTTTCTAGACCTGAACATTGGAGTATGTGTATTTTTAAAAATCTCCTTCCTAATCCAATACTCATGGGGAATTGCCAGGGAACAGCAGTCCCACTGACAGCACAAGATATTTGGTGCCAACCTACTCCATCCTTTCTGCTACTTCACAGGGCACCCTTCAGGCCCAGGAAGACCCTTAGGGGTTTCTTATTTGCACCCTAGAAAACTCCCACTAGCCCCATGTCTATATAATCTTCAGTCAACAGATGTGAGTTCAAGTTCTTAGTTCAAGAGCTCAATAAAAATGCAACAGGATGTCAGACACGCCCATTCAGGTTCCCTTTGTCCAATTAGCATCACTCCTGAGCACATGTCCCAGAATTCCATTCCACCTGTCCTTTCTGTCATCAAATGCAGACACACAATGCCAAGTCTACCCCATCTTGATGCTCAGTCTCACAGCCTCAGAGCAACTAGCTCTCCCTGAACTCCAAGCAGGTGAACTCACCTTGTCGATGAAAGAGGCGAATTTGTTGTTGAGGGTCTTGATCTGCTCTCTCTCCTGAGACTTCACTTTTTGAATCTCAGGGTCGACCTCCACATTGAGTGGCTGCAGGAGGCTCTGGTTGATAGTGACTTCCTGGATGCCACCAGGGGGGCAGACAGGCCCCATACCACCCCCAAATCTACCACCCCCATATCCTCCACCACCAAAACCACCTCCACTGCCAAAACCACCACCACCAAAACCACCGCCACCAAAACCACCTCCACTGCCGAAACCACCACCCCCGAAGCCACCACCACCGAAGCCGCCACCACCGAAGCCGCCACCCATGCCACCACCCATGCCACCACAGTGTCCACCTCCAGCCACACTCATGGAGATGCTCCTGCCACCCCCAAGGTTAATAAGACTTTTACTTCCAAAGCCACTACCAGAGCCCCCACTTCCACAGAAGCCTCCTGAAAACCTCCCACCGCCGCCTCCTCCGCCTCCTCCACTGCGGCGCACAGAGCAGCTGGAGGATTTACGGTGGAAGCTGACCAGGCCTGCAGAGCCGGAGCTGAAGCCCCTGCCGCCCCCGACCCGGCATATAGACCTGGAGCTACACTGTCGACTCATGCTGGCTTAGAGGAAGAGCAAAGACGGAAAGGAGAAGGAAGGAGCTGAGAACTCCTCTGCCTTCTGCCCAGCACCAGGCCCTTTTATACTGGGAGGAAATTGGGCTTGGTCCTCAGAGTCAGCGGAGATGCAGAGCCTGCAGAGGGTTTGGTTTGCCTGCAGCCATACAAGATTTTTACGAGCCTCAACAATACGATAAACACCACACACCTAGCTCGCAGGATGGGCTCTCAAAATTGCTGTGCAGACAAGATTGACTCGTGTGGTAATCATTTTATCTGACAGGCTCTCTCTCCAAGTGTGCGTGGCTTTGAGAAACTAGGACCCCACATTGACTCCTTGGTGTTTCTTGATAGGATTTTGTATTCCCCACACACAACAGTATGCATGCCTGCACTCTCAGCCTGCCACTGTAGGCTGCTTGAGGAGCAGGTGCAATTCCACGAGCTTGGATCCCTAAAGGAGCTCTCATTTTCCCCAAGATTGTCCTTTGAAACCCCAGCACTTACCAAATTACACCTCCTGGAACAGAGTAAAGGCTTTGGAAGCCAAAAATCTTCTAAAGCAGGCTTTTACAAATGCACTGTACTGATTGATTCAAAGAAGGGCAGCTGTCACTGAGCAGGATAGATGGGTAGGTGGTCTGGAAGCACCTGAGGGGAAACGCTGTGTTCTTTCCTAAGCTTCCCAGTTGTTCCTTTTCAAAGATAAACACGGAGCAAGAGATGGGCAGAAGAGGCCAGCAACTGAAAATAGGTGGTGTGTAAATGCCAGTATAGAATGTGGAGTGGTGAGATGGGTCGATACCTAGGACATGTGGTAAAGCAAAGTGGGGAAGTTGAGGCATGACAGTGGGTTTGGAAGAGACGGCAGTCATGGAAATCTGGCAAACCTGACCTGAGAAGTCCACAGTGTTTCTAGAGTCAGTCACAACTGCTATTAAGGGCGGAAAGTGGGGGAAAGCAAGTCAGAAGCTGATCATGTGCCAGGAACTGTCTTACGGTTTATATGCAGTAAGTTCATGTTCATAGCAACTTTGAGAAAGATATTAATCTACCCATTTTTAAATGAGAAAAATGAGGCAGGAGGGTTGAAAAGCCTCCCCATACCTCCATAAGTGGTAAGTGGCCATTTGGAATGTGAACTGAGGGTACCTAGCTAAATACAGTGTATAAGATCCATGTTTTTATATGTCAGCATGCAACTGAGTTCACATTCTCCTGTGTGCTGTGGGGAAAACTGGATGGCATAAGATGCCGTCCTGCTGTGGAGGGCTCTGAAAGAAAGGTGATTTTATCCTGAGTCCTTGGCTCCTGGCACATGGGAAATATTCCTTCAATTCACTGCGAGAAGAGGAGCTTGAAGATGAGGGAGATTCTGCTTCTGTCCAGGTGTCAGCGTAGGCAGTACACATCGCACCAGTCTGGGGCCTTCCTGGAGAGCAGTAGTTGATCGATATTTACAGAATGTAGTGACACTAAGATCTGGAAAGACCTGAACCTACACCAGTGATCACTTACGAACTTCTTAGAAGCCTGGCATGCTCCCCACCCTCGATGCAAATGGAGAGAAAGACACCTTCTGGAGGAGCCTGCTGCTCTGGCTTCTGGCTCCTTGTGAATGCATGGGAATTCCCCTCTGTACAAACAAGCTCTGAAGGAGAGGGGCATCTGTAAAGACCATCCTCCCCAGTTCCAGGCAGCTCTGAACCAGGGAATTTTGCCAACCCTCTGTGCCCTACTATCAGCTTTCTCTTGTATCAGTGTTTGCCTACCCTCCTCCAAGAAGTACCCAGCCTGTCCTCTGTCCCCCACTCCTCCAGTTCCCACAGCACTGTCTTCTGGAACTCTGTCCTAGTGCCCACATCCTTAGGCTGTTCACTAACCATCTCTTTAGGGAATGAGTAATCCGGGTCTTGGGAACAATGGGGACTGGAATGGCTTTGGTGTGCTAATAATGACTATTGCCTAACCATCTTCTGACAGGCAATCAAAATTCTTGTAGTCCAGCATACTCCCTTATGAGACATATCATTCGGCACAATCGATTCCTTCTAGCATTTTGGAGGGGTGTGCATATGTGTCTGCATGCATGTGTATGTGCATATGTGTACCAGCCAATGACAGATCTTTCCAATGAGCCCTGCTTCCCTAAGCAAACAACAGAGAGAAAACCAGGCAATGGTGACAGTTTATGGCTCTGCAAACACATGTTCTAGCAGGTGCCCTGAGACAAGGAAAGGCAGGAACTAGGAGGATCAAGAAGACACAAAATCACCCCCAACTTAAGTTCACAAGGCTCACACAGGACACATGTTGTTTCCCACCGGAGCCGGGGGAACTATGCCGTTGAACTCACTATATGAAGCTGAAAGCTGAGGCCTGGAGAGGCTTAACACTCTCCAGCTAGGACAAGACACATGTGGGGCCAGATCCTGGGCTTTCTGCTGACCTTCCTTCTAACATGGAGAAAGCAAGGGGACCTGGGGACGATTCTCATCTTCTCGTGCTCGAGGCTCCACCCGCAGGCCTGCCTACCACAGAAGTGAGAATACAGCTCCAAAGAAGTAGATGACATCTGCCCAGGTTGTAGAGTCAATTCTTGGGGGTGCCCCAATTTCTGAATTGAACCCCTATTCTCTCCCCAGAGCTCATTTTTAACCCCTAAAGGGTGGGAACTTTAGGACGGCTAGTGAGCCACAGTTATTTCCTAGGATGTCCTAGGATTCAGGATACCTTAAAAAACGCCTGTGAAATAAAAGTGTAAGCCACACACTGGGGAAACACAGACATGAATGAAGAGGAGAAACAGCCCAAACTTCTGCAGGTGCCGAGCACTGGCAGGGGCTGTACCTCGTGTAGACGTTGCTGAGAGGTACTGGCCCCACTTTAAGAAAAGGTAACTTGGGCTCATAGAGGTTGAAATGTGTGCCCTGGGTCACTAGATGGTAACTGACAAGCCAGGCTTGTCCAGAGCTCATGCCTCTTGACCTTGGCCCGCCTGCGACCTGCATCACGTATACCGTCTCTGCTCAACCACAAGCGGTGACCCCCCTTTCCTCTGTCTCTCTTCATTTTCCCAGTCCACTTCTTCTCTTTCTGATAAGGCCTTCCAGTATCCTGGCAATTTGTTCCAAAGCCCATCCCACAGACAGGCTTTAGGCACACACACACACACACACACACACACACACACACACACACACACACAGTCTCACATCCTGATTAGCTGCTCTAGACTCTCATTTCAATCTACCACACCACTGTAATAACCAACCACTCAGCTTGTGGGTGGTCAGCCCAGACCTCCCCTTCTCCAGGGAGGTTTCCTTGATTAACATCATGTTGCTGTTCTATTGGACTGCCCCCCCCTCCCAAACGAGGTTACTGCCTTAGCTGAGCATATGCTGATGTACTGGCTCTTTTGCAGGTCTGTGTCTGTATGCTTGTTCACCGATACTAATCGTCCACGTCTCAGGGGCTTCTCAGCCCCCTTCATAGGCCCCAGCAATGGAAGAGATAATCCCAACAGCACAAACTGAGAACATTCCAGAACATCTGCTCTGGCCCTTCCCCATCCCCCACCCCGCCACTGCTGCCAAGAGGCAAGCTTTGGGGCACAGCAGGGGCAGGTGTGGTGATGTTTTGAGAGTTTTTTGAGGGATGGGACCTTGAAGAGAATTAAGAGGAACATGCAATGACAAGCCGCCCAGCCCTGCGGGACTCTTCCAGGGCCGTGGGAGAAGGAAATTTCAGGGGAGTGGGGAAAGCTGAGGCCTGGGAGGAGTTCAGGGGAGTCACAGACAATGGGGAGGCGGGGTGAGATGTTGAAAGCTGACAAATGGCTGAGGAGGAGCCGAGGCTTTTTAATGACAGATGGAAAGGTGCAGAGCAAGGGGCAGATTCATGGAAGGCAGGTGGCAAAGAGGACAGTCCCTAAGAGTCACTGCTGAGCAGTGGAGTAGCCAGCAGAGCCCAGAGAGGAGTGAACCCAAGAGGCCTATGTAGGGGAGAGATAGTGGATGCTGTATCAGTCTGTACGGGGGTGGAGTGGGGGGAGGGGTGCTGTCAAACTCCTGATTGCACATTTCTAGCTGTATGACCCTAAGCAGGTCACCAATCCCCTCTGAGACTAAGTTTCCTCATTAAATGGGGGGGGGGGCGTAAATCTACCTTCCAAGGAGGCTGCAGGGTGTAGAGGGTAGGTAGAGAGAAGGAGGCCAGTAGCCCTTGTATTTGGAAGGACCCAAAAGCTGATAGAATCACTGGGAAACTTTTGGTACAAGCCCCTTGCTGAAAACTGTCAAAATACTAAGGTTTAGGTTCTTGAAAATCCCCAGGACTTGCAAAGACCACGAGTTTGTCACAAGGAAGATAGTGTTGCATCCCACAGAAATGATGCTGGCCGCCAGCGCCTGTAGCAGAAGGGAGGCAGGGTCAAATGCAAGGAGCCCTGGCTGAAATCATGGAATGCCTGTTCTGTACTATAGAGCAAAGCCCCACAGGGGGCAGTAGGCTGGAAGCCAGGCTGCAACTTGGAGCCCCCAGAGGCCTTCCAAGCTTAGTTAGCATTGGGACATTTGGAAATGATTGTTCATTCTGGAGAACCTCCCAGATGCCCAAGTTCCCAGCCCAACCCAGCAACAGAGCAGCGATCAACTTGAAGACATCCAGTTTTCTGAATTGATCGAAAGATGATAAAAACCAGGGCAGCAAAGCCATAAGAGCAACAGAGAGCTTGAAGAGGGACTGCTGGAGCCCCTGGCTCTTTAATTTGAAGATCCTCCTGGGCCAAAGGGCTAGGCAATTGGGTGGCAATCTCAAGACTCCTCCTTAGACTGAGAACTTTCCCAGCCCAGACACGCACATCTCATCCAAGGTCAGATGGAGTTAGAACGGTGGTGAGCCAATGACTGTTCTTCCTGTTCACCGTGTCCTAGATAAAAATCTCTGCAGCTGAGAAGCTGGTGGAATTAAATTTAGATTTCTATTGTGGCCCGCCCTGTCACAGCCTCCCGGGGGAGGAGCAGCTGGCAAAGTTCTCCTGGAAGCCACACTAGCTCCTGCCAGTCGGTATCTGATGGGTGATGGATGATGGGCCAGCTTTGCTCTCCTTCTGGCTACCTTAAGGGAAAGAAAGCACTATCTCAGCACTATGGAATACCTCACCGAGC